ATAGGAAGGAGATCCTCGATAGGGATGGGCTCCCGTTCGGGAAATCATGGTTCGAAGATGACCCTGAAGGAGCCACTTGGCCTGGACACCATATGGCTGGGGGTGCCGCTGTCCCGCTGAAGCCGAAGACGAAGATCGTGTGGGGAAAGCGACCACATGTGGATGACGAGGGCGACGTGGATCCTGGGGCGAGCTCTTCGGGGCAACCGAGGACCGAGCCGGCCCCCGATAGGGGCGTCGGGTCAGGAAAGGATGATGATGTGACTCTTCCTGACATTGGGAAACTGTCCGTGACGGAGAAGAAGAAGGACGACATGGACGTGGATCAGGAAGGCTCCAAGAAGGATTCCACCGGGACGAAGGAGCCCACGCCTCGGGGTACTGAGGCTGGGAAGGCAGACCCGAGTGAGATCACCAACTTCAAAGGGGCTACCTTCGAGGAGTACCGGAAGACTGCCCCTGACTATGAGTACAGCGGGGAGGGAGATGATCGAAGGATCCTTCCCAAGAACACTCCGATAGACATGGAGAAGTCGTTGCCAGCCGAGGTAGCGCTCTTGATTCCGAGAGCAGTGGCCACGCAGAAGGAGGCTGAGGAAGCCGAGAGGGCCGCGATGGAGGCCATCCGCGGGGACTATAGGCTTCCGGACGTGGGTCAAGAAGACAGGGAGAAGGTTGACCCTTACACCGTGACGGATGAAGACTTGGCTGCGTCGGTAGACGCGTTGACTAGGAGGTTGAGCAACATGCCTGAATGGTCGGGCAATCTGATCGACCCTGCGAAGTCTGCTGAGCTAGTCGCGGCGAGATGGGGCGGAAAGGCGAGTTATGACAAGCCTGAGGCTCCTCTGACTGAGGCTGGGATGAAGAGTGCGTCATTGGAGGATCGTGCCTATGCCCTGTCGCAGCTGAACCAGATGGTGAACTTCCACAAGAAGCACCTATGCTCTGGGCGAGGAGCGCCTATGGTAAGTGCAGCTGCCCCCAGTGGACCCTTTGCTCCTGATCAGCTGGATGATAGCAGGAGGTTCAGACCTAGTGAGGCGGCGAGCAAGATGACCTACAATCTTGGAGATCTCGGGCATGGAGAACGCCGAGATGTCGTGGAAGTTCTTCATTCCGACGCTCAAAGCTTTCCCGATAGGGCAAGTTGAGGCGATGCTCATGGTCATGTACGACGGGAATGGTGTCCTCCTCAAGGAGAGCACTAGGTTAGTGGCCGTTAGGCACACGCGGATCGGACGCGACATGAGCTACAGTGCCGTTAGGCAAAGGTACACTCAAGAGGATGCACCTGGTGGATCTCTGATGTACGAGATGCATTGGAATGAACTCCCCATGGTGGGGTACGTCGTCATGAAGTTCTCGGACTTTAGGAAGGCGGTTCAGCTCCAAAGGGTGAGGCGAAACGGAAAGGCCATGATCGAGATATTGATCACGAGGCCCGATGTGTACGAGACCATTGGAGATGGAAGGCAGGATGAGGGCCTGATCCCACTTGTGGGAACCATGGCGCCGAATGCCAAGGTATCGCCTTCGTGGTACGTCAGGGACAGGCTGCGGAACTACTCGGGTAGGTACGTGGTGGTGATGGTGGACCTTCGGGTGCACTGGTCCTTGGTTGGACCCGTGTTTTTGACGAGGAGGAAGACCCTTGCGGTTCGGAACGAGATCCACATGGGAGCTTGGAAGGCAGCGTACATGTACGATGATTACACGATAGTATACCATCGGGCATGGGATTACGGTGACTTCACCCCCGTTAGGGGAGAGCACAGGCGATCGCGTGAGGAGGTCAGGTTGAATGTGACCACCACGTTCTGTTTGAGGTGCGCGGAGATGACACCAAATGGGATGCATTTGTGTCCTGGGTGTGCGCTCCCGGTCTTCTACCCGAACTTTATCCCCAACGCGGAGGAGAATGACTTCGAGGGGTGCCGCATCGTCCCGGAGTGGGTGAGGACCATGGGGCAGTTCAAGCCCAAGAGGATCCCCGCCGAAGTGGTCGGAGTCATCAAGAGGAACCTGATTTCCTATTCGATGGCGTCTGACCTGAGGATGACGGTGCAGAGCGGCATCAGACTGCCCCCTTATCTTGGTGAAGACAAGGGAGGAGTCGATACGGCGTGGGATGAGCTGGCGAAGGTGCTCTTCCAATTCTCCTATGTGTCGGGGATTTCGGCCTCGGATGCTTTCGTGGAGAAGTGGGTGGCGAAGCACCTGATTATGACCAATCAAGTCGATAGATTTGATTCGGTCACGGAGTACTTCCGTGCTAACCCGAGGCATGCTGCTCAGTGGGGTAGGCGTATGACGACTTCCGTTAGGAAGTTCGCTCGTCATGATACGTACTTATCCTTCTACATCCCGATGGCGTATGTGATTGGCTCCGCGGCGGGTCATCTGACTCCGTTGTATCCGACCCATCGGAAGGACGTGGACATCCTGGCCAGCCATGCGTTGATATCGCAGCTCAGGGGGTACATGGTGTCGGCGACCGGGTACGATGAGAAGAAGAGATTGAAGGAGGCGATAGCCAAGGTGCAGAAGGCAATCAGTGCCGGGCAGTCGGAGCCTCCCGCTCCCTTCCGTGACCCATTCGTCTACGTTAGTGACGAAAGGGTAAGGACGGTCCTTGATGGTCGTCAACCGGAGCCATTGGACGTGGATATTGAAGGACTTCAATCGGTGCATCATGCTGCGCCGGGTCCTGGTCCCAAGCAGGAGCCGGTCACCAAGGGCGGAAAAGGAAAAGGGAAGAAGGGAGAAAAGGGCGGTAAGGGCGGTAGTCCTTCCGGCCC